TGGCCCTAAGATATCCCGGTGGTTCAGCGACCATCTACCTATGGGGCCTCTAGCCTTTGAATTGTGACTTTTATCCTCAGTTGCAACATGGCTCCTGCATTGCTAAGCATCAGAAAAGCACGCCACAGAAGATAAAGGGAAGAGGGTAGAGAAAAGGGTACAGACAGCTAAATCTGTCCCTGGATTCTTTATCTGAGAATGAGTCGCTCTCCTGGGGGCATTGACTGATATTGTTCTTCCTCGTTTCATTGGTCCGAAATGTGCCACTGAGGCCACCCTCAATGGCAAACAGAATGTGAAACCAAATGTTCGGCTGGGAACTTTCCTAAGGTGTCAGAATCGGGGTTCTGTTCTAAAAATGGGTAGAATGAATACTGAGTTGGTGGCGAGATTTGTATAGTGTGCCTCTCTTTTCTCAACAGTCTGATCTTTGTTCAGTCTCCTATACCAGGACAAAGCCACTGGTATGTTTAAAACTCAATTCACATGGATACGATTTTCTAGACAGGAAAAAAAAATTAAGAAATTTCAGCAATGGCTTTAATTTAATTTAAAAGGATCCCAAGTATCTATGATAATATTCAGATCATTAGGTTTATTAATAGTAAGAACTCTCCAATTTGTTATAGAAAAGAAAACCAGCTACAATAACTTTTCCAGCTTCCTAGTGAAAGTGTTAGATATTACTGTATTCTTAACCCAAATGTCCTTATTATATTTTCCTCTGGTGTCTAGCCATTTTTTACATCTTATAGCAGCAATAACTCTCTATTCCATAAAAATAGAATTTTACAAGCAAGACAAACACTTCCATAAATTAATAGAAATACCTGCCTATAGTGAAACAATGAATTTTCTTTCTTATTCATACTTTTGTGATGTATTTATCTTGAAATAACCCTCATTATATCTTAAATTTACAGCTTTTTATGGATTGAGGATATAGGAGAAATTTGGTCAACATCTAGACTAGAAAGAACAAGGCATTTATAAGAAATCCATAATTCAGCTTTAAATAGTTTTCAAAACATAGGTCTAGTCCAAAATGTCTCTGAATATATTTGGTTAAATAAGATTTTCCACAAAATGAGGTGTTTCTATTCATATATACATTATTTAATAGTGAAATCAAGTTATTTAACATATCCATAAATCCAAGTTCTTACAACTTTCTTTCGGATATGTTCAGGGTCTACACTTCTGAAACTTTTAAAATAATACAATATTTCTAACTATATTACCCTACTAAAAATAATCTCTCCTAACTGAATCTTTTAGCTATTGATCAGTATAACATTGCCTTTTTTCAATTTCTCCCACCAGTCTCTGGCAACACCTCTCCCATCTTCTGCCTCTAAGAGTTCAGCTAGTTTCAATTTCACATGTAAATAAAACCATGAGATATTTGTCTTTATCTGTGTAATTAATCTCAAAATATCAAGATGTTGCAATATAGGAATTAATCCATTATATTGCTAAATTATATTTTATTATATATGTATAGATTCATCTATATTATTTTAATGATAGTATATGGATAAATATAAACTTATACTCACATGTAGGTTTTAATTATCTTTCACAATGAAATAATTTCATAAAATAAAAAGTTATTTCTATTTAAGAAAAATCCTATTATGTTAAAATAATTTTATACATGGCTATTGTTCAAGAAAATTAATTCATAAAAACAATAATAAAACAACAGCTTATACTTTATATTATGATAATTCATATATTTTGGCATTTCCCTTTATGATACAAATGAGGCAACTAATAATAGATTATTAGAGCTAGGTGACTTTTATAGTTGCATTATATATTTTTCAACAGAACTAAAAATGGAAATCAAAACTTTCTATGCCATCCACTTCAATAAGCCATGCAAATACAGAAAATAACAGTTGTAGGCATGCAACTCTTTAGTTTTTTTTGTTTTCTCCCTAATAAAAGTGCCTGTTGTGTGTTTAAAAACAATGTATAAAAGTCCAAAAAAGTTACTTTCTTCTAGGTTGATGTGACCTAAGAATTTTAATTCCAAGATTCTGAAATAATTTAATTGTAAAATTCAGGAAAAAATCTACTGAAAACAGCCAATACTAATTTACATTTTCATGAGTTTGCTTAATGTGTTTGAGCTTGCAGTTTCTACTCAATTGCATCAGGCTTCATTCATGCATATGTATTAGCAGTTGATACATGTAAGGACTCATGTTTATTGAAAATGATTTTCAGTCTAAAGCCATTCATAAAATTCAGCTTTTCTGTACTCAAATACTTGGGTGTCATGAGAACACTTGCAGCTAAGCAAGGATAATTGAGTGTAGAATAATTGTTGCCTTCATTCAGCAAGTGTCTCCTGTAAATACATAGGTTCTTTAGCTAGCATAAGAACGATAGCATGATGATAAATGCATTCATCACCAGAGACAATCTACACTCATTCGTGATAAAAATAAATTCAACTAGCAAAAGTATGATTATGGTATCAGTTAAACTGTGAGATTGAATATCTTTCTATGAGTTGTTTATGGTGGAAGGTAGAGAGAAAGGGAGAGAATTAGAAGAGAGGAAATATTCTCTGTAGCAAAGAAGTAACTTACTACATTTAATTCCAGTAACAGATGCAAAAGAAGATACTCTTATTTTCATTTTATTGCTGAAAGAATATAAACAAATGAAAACTTTGCTACTAATCTGTATTCTAGGGAATGTGGAGTAAGGTGCTAAGAGTACTTTGTGAATCCCACTGTTGTCCCTGTGTTGAACTATTTGTATAAAAATATCAACAAAATTTACTTGGGCTCTGTTAAATATATTTGAGTGATATCACTTACTGTAAAAATATCTAGTTAAAATTATGTTGAAAAAAAATCAAGAAGGTAGAGTGTCATCTACCTTCTTAATAGTTGATCAAATAATAGAAGCCAACTGAATCAATGTTATGGGAGTATTTTCTTGCCAGAGAGAAAGCAATGACCTTCACTTCCATAGCAAAAAAAATAGTGTCTCTATACCAGGCTCTATCAAATATTATGGTAATTGATCACCAGCCAGTTGTGCATAAATTAGTATTGTTCTCTAATCAATGACTCTCATACTTTCTATTTTACATGGAGTCAAGTCCCAACAAATATAAATAAAAATAAAAACAACAACAACAACAAAACCAACTCCTATCCTTAGATTCAGAGAAGATGGAAAAGAAGTGGCCAGGAAGATGGTAAAACTCAGAACATCAGGTAGCTCACTCTGAGATCGCATTTGCTAGAGAAGTCAGAAGGTGGACCCATAAAGTTTCACAACATGCCTATTTGTAGTAGGGAGACTGCTTGTTTGCTACCAGCTGTCCAGACTCAAAATAACCTGGACTGCTTGATGCTATGCTATATGAACTGGACATACAAGAACCACAGAGAAGTGACTACTTAACATGCCTAAAGGTGAGATGATTCTTCGGGGTTCCTGCTTCATGAAAGAGTCTGCCAGACCGTCTGCAGGATACAGAAGAAAGTGACGGACAAACTGCCAATATAGGATGAACTGTCCTAAAAATTTCCTGTTTTATGTAAAAGTTTTCTGGATACTATGTGTCTATAGGGCAAAGATGGAGGCCAGAAACATTACAGAAAAATTTTAGGTGACTGTGCAGGCAACAAGATGTCTCTGTCAATTCTAGAATTTTGGAAGTTGCTTGCAACATGCTTCCTGTCAACTTAGGAAATATATCCTTGTGGAGTTTTTGATTGAGTTGAAGAATACATAGTTATAATTATAGTTTTATTTAGTTATGATAAAATGATAAAGTATTTATAAATGTAAGTGTAATTCTTGTTTGATATCTGTCTTGTTATATGTAATTTTACTATGTTAAAGTTAAAACCTTCCTTTTTATTTAAACAGAAAAGTGGAAGTGGTGTGGGAAGTCCTTCTGTCTATATTTTGCTTTTATTGCTTAATGAATAAAGAAATTGCTTTGAGCCTATAGTAGGGCAGAACAGAACGAGGTGGGGAAAACTAAACTGAACGCTGGGAGAAAGAGGGCAGGGTCAGGAGATGCCATGTAGCTGCTGCCAGGAGCAGACCCACTGGAACTTTACATGATAAGCCCCAGTCACGTGGCAATATACAGATTAATAGAAATGGATTAAATTAAGATGTAAAAGTTAGCCAATAAGAAACTAGAGCTAATTATTCAAGCAGTGATTTAATTAATACAGTTTCTGTGAGGTTATTTTGGGGTTGAGCAGCCAGGAACAAATAAGCAGGCTCCTATAACATCTGTCTAAAAATGAGGTTTACTAGAACAATACACATGGATATCTTTAAAACTCTATTCGGTTACTTTAAATTTTATGGCAAACTAAAAGTGAAAATTTACATAGCTTTATGATTTTGAAGAATCCCAGGCAAATAAATGTTTAATTTATTAAGAATAACATATTATTAATAACTGATTATTCAGGATGGATTATTTAGAATAACTGATTATTAAGAATATTTAAAGGTCAATAAAATACTTATTCTTATTCATTTGGAGTGAAGGTATAGGATTAGCTTTTCTTGTTTAACAGAAACTACTGTTCAGAAAACTTAAGCAGACAAAAATTCAGAGTTCAAGGATTTGGAGAACTTCAAAGAAACTGGACTTCGTTTAAAATATTAATAAAATTCTTATCTTAGAGCCATATCAGCCATGTACCCTAGTTTTTCTTCAATTTGTTTCGGATTTATAAGCCAGGGAATTTTCTCTCCCATCTTTTCAGTTTATTTATATCCTCAACACAGATCATTTTCAGAGTTTTAAGTTCCAGAGTTTTACAACTCACTCTGTAAAATGGAAGTGTCTTTTATTAGTTCTAAAAAGTGCCTTTAGTGACTTTCTAGGGACAGCCTCTTCAAATGTTCTCTCATTGCTGAAAATATTCATCTCCATTCTCTCATAATATTTTTGAATTTATGGATTTTGTAACATCCCTTCTTGACTTTTATTTCTCCAGGTTGAAGAGCTGTAATTTTTTTAATCTATACTTATATGAAGCATTTGCTTCCATAATTCATGCGGCCTCAAGTTTTTGTGATGAGAGAAGAACTTGCCGTTTTTGAAAACGTGAACTCGGTTGGAAAACAGAGACGGGGGAGACACTGAATAGGCATGCACCAATTAGCTATGTTTGCTCTAAGTGGTAAGTGGTTTCTCGTTGCTTTTATTCTAACATAGCAATTGTATCACATATGTTACAGTTACTAGATAATACGAGTTCTAACACGTGTGCAAAGCCGTAAATATGGTATTAGCTTACGTCAAGTTCTTGTAAATGAGTTCAGTCAAAAAACACATTGCGAAGGACAGCACCTCACAGGGAGAGTACTTGTTGAGCATGTGCATAGCCCTGAGTTTCCTACCCTGCACTCCCCCCCACACACACAACATGCAAGCATTCACGCATGCACAACAGCGCAGGTTCTTGATCCTCTTTGGTCTTGTAGGTTTCGTGTTCCTGTAAGATGACAGAAAGCAGATGAACATACTGATAGCGCAGTGTTCACTCTGCTGGTTCAGACGTCACAAGTGGTGACGAGTAGGTAGTAAATTAACAGTTTGTGCAATTAGCGTGCTGTGACCATCATGTGGAGACTTTAGTGAATAGCACATTTAGGACACACCAAATCTCTGAATGACTGGCTTAAAATTCTATCCAACTTTTAAGGGGGTCACAGTAAGTCTAATGCATAATCCAAATTCAGCAGCCGTGGTTATCTGGAAAATGACTTTTGATTGTGAGCCAGTGACTGTTAACTTTTCTTATAATTTTGTCGCACTGTTAGAATATTTGCTCAGTGTTGAATTTCTCACCTTGAGAGTAATTTCTAAACACATGTAAGGCAATTAAGACTGAAATTACCATTATTTTATAGAAGTAAAGGATGATGTTTTTCATTCTGTTCTGTGTTTAATTATCCTAGGTCTTTCACTGTTTAGACATATCATGATGATACATTGCAGATGAAGTACGCAATTACATTGTAACAAATGTAAAATGTAAAATATGCCATGAGATAAATTTCATGTGGGTAGGACAAGTGCATATATATTTTCAGCTGTGTAGCTCATAGGCTTCCCTTGTTCCGTGCATACCTGCTGTCCTAGTAGTCTTTAGAGCTTGTTTTCCCAAAAGTCTTCTCAGTCTATAAATAAATTTGCTACAGGACAAAGATGAAAGTTTATTTAGTGTTTTAGAAAGTTTACTTCTAATGCCATTATTAAAAACTTACATTAGCTAAATAAAAATAGTCCTAGTCTCAGAAGCAATTTTAGGAATCATTTTATTCTTATCATTCTATCCATGTACACTGAAATTTAATGTTCATTGACTTCAACTCAAATTTTATTAACAACAAATGGCTTGCTTTTCTTAGAACTTTGTGTCTTGTATTTAACTTTCTGTTTGCCTTGAAGACATTTTACTATTTTTAAAATAATTATTTTCCCTTTATGAAAAAAAAATTGGATAAAACAAGTGAAATTTCAAGAAATAGAAAAGAAAAAAAAAGCAGAAACTTTGGGAACATTCCCTTAATATTTTCTTCAAAAAATGCTTCTGTGGCTTTCCATACTATTCTACAGCTCTAAAGTAAATAGGCAACCAGAACAACTCATATGTCTGTCAGAGGAATAAAATCAGTTACATTTGTAAAAGCCACTTGCTAATTGTTGATATTACATATTTGTAATTTACCAACAAATTATTCCTCTTAATTCTTAGTTTTTTATCTAATTAGTCACCCCAAATATTTCTGTGAGAGAACTTATTGAGAGTATGAGACATACAGTTAAATAGTAGATAGAATGATTTACCTGGCATTCTCCAGATCTGAGGATCAATCCACAGTACTGACAACTATAAACACAAATGAATAAATAAATAAATAGATAAATATACTGACATATAAGATCTTACAACAACAGCAATATGGTGACCCGAAGGAAACCCAAACAGTGATGATTATACAATGTATTTTACAGGCCAACCTACAAATTTGCTGCCAATGTTCTTGGATTATAGTAGCCCCAGATTGTTCTATAACACAATAGCTGACTGTGACTTTATTTACCTGAACATCTTGCTACACATCCAGAGCTCACCTTGAGTTGCTTTTAAAAAAATGAAAAAGTTTGCGATGAAGTGATGGTTCATTGTTAAAACAGTTGCTGCTCTCCTAGAGGGCAAGGTTTGGTTCGCTGTACCCACACAATGGCTTACAACTATATATACCTCCATATCTATGGAGCCCAGTGTTCTCTAGGTTTTGTTTGCCGCACCCACACAATGGCTTACAAGAATCTATACCTCCATATCTATGAAGACCAATGTCCTGTTCCAGCTTTCATAATCTCCAGGATTGTATGTGTTGCACATACATACATGCAGGCCAAATGCCCATTTATACATATAAAATAAAATAAATCATTTTTGATGAAGAATCTCCACATTCCTCCTATTTCTAACATTTTGAAACATTTGTATTCACTGCAGGTTTAATACATACTATTTTCCACATTCTAGTATTGTCATCTTATAATGGATCTGATATATACCTTGTCTACAGCTAGATTAAAGGCTCCATAACTGAAGAGATGTTTGCCGTGACTATTGCAATTGTGATCTTGCTGATGTACATGCAGTAACCATTATGGTAATGGACAGCTCTAGAATTGGAATTTTAAAATGAGGAAACTTGGAGAAATTTTTTTAAGGCAAGAAGATTTTGCCTGTCTCCACTTGCCAAAGACACTAAAAATCATTTATTTTTACAAATTTTATTCAAGGTAAGAATAGTTTGAAATTTTTCCCCTTAAATATACAAAATATCAGCTATATTTTTTTAGGATGATCATGAATTCTTCTAAAAATAAGGTGTTTTTGAGTTGAAATGTTTCGCCTTGAAGAAAGCCTAAAGGCAAGAAAGTTTAGACACTTGAAATTCCTAAGTTTTTAAAGCTAACTTATTTTATTAACTGAGGCATATGCTATAATAAACTGTATTTGAAGACTATTGTTATAGATTTAATCTTTCGATACTTAGGGACATTTGGCAGTCAAGAGTAAGAACACACAGACTTAGGCAACTTTCATAAAAATAATATTAGTATAATTAAATAACTTAACTGTGTGAAATACAGAACTGGGACAGAATATCATTATGAAAGGATGGGATATTGGATAATATATGTCTTTAGATAAAATAAAACAGACATTAATAACATAATCATCTTAAACACAATTTTAGCAAATTTTATTAACACTGAATAAAAACAAGCTGTGGAGAAACAAAGGAATCATTAAAATATATGAAAAACAAAAAATATTGATAGCTAGAATTGCTTTTCTTATAGAGCATTTTCGTTTGTTTAACTGTTTCAATAAATTCAATCAAATAATAAATATAGAAATTAGCCATCATCTAGGCAGTTAAAACTCTTTTAAAATGATACAGCAGCTCTGGAAAATTAAAATTTTAATGCAAAACTAAAATGTAAGCTGGGTCCCATGAATTGAATTGATTGTCATAGATTTTAGAGCCTAGGTAAAAGAAATAGTCTGTTTTGAATTGAAAACAAAATCGTTTTGAATCTATATTCCCGTTTAGCACCAAGTTTCATGCATCTCTCTTGTCACTTAGTTTCTCTCAGAACAATTAATCAATGGCCAAAGGAAAATGCTAGAAGTTTCAAGAAACTTCCTTGAGAAATGTCAGTGTACTTATCAAACTGTCTGACTCAAAAATTGCCTTCAAAAAAGTGGTTGCTGCTTAGCTCAGTGGATTTTTTTGTTCATAAGACAAAGAAGGAAAAGCATGATAAAAAATCATAATGACTAGATAGTTTTGGAATTCGACCTTAGAGGATGACATTTCTAAGTGGTTTGCTCAATAGGAGCATCATTTGTTTGTTCAAAAGTTATTTGTCCTAACACTTTGAACTCTTAAAATAAAAAGAACAGTATAAAGAAAGCAACAGCCTATAATTAGGAGTATTTAAAGAGTTAGACTGGATCATAGAGATCAACATAAGATGACTAAGAATAGCTTATTCAAAATACAATGTGACATCAAATTAACTCATTTGAACATGTCTAAGACTTGTCATCTTTCATCCTCAAATTAGTCATTCATGATTCAATAAATTTTGCATGGAATCAAGATAGTTTCAATTATTTTTATCAATTTCCTGACAGAAGGCCTTGGATTTCCAAAGAATTGCTAGGAGTTTACTTGTGGCGATAATGGAGAAGTTTACTCAGTTTCAAGATTTATTATAAAATTAAGTGACTATGGTCCTGCCACTTTGAAAACTGCCAGTCTTATGGATTCATGTATAATTTGAATATCTTGCATTGTTGTAAAATTTGCCTAATTTTCTTCAGAGTCATATGGGAAAAAGAAATTAATTTCATGGATTACATGTAACTATTTATTTATTTATTTATTTATTTTTTAGGTCACAATTTATAGATACATTTATTTTATATGATCAGAACACGCTTAAGCAATTATTAAGTCTGTTCTGATAAAATATACTATTTGTTACATTCTTTTTTTTAAATATAATTTTTTTATTGAAAAAAAAAAAGATTTCCGCCTCCTCCCCGCCTCCCATTTCCCTCCCCGTCTCCCTTTTCCCCCCTCCTCCCTCTCCTCTCCCCCTCCCCCCCACTCCTCTCCCCCTTCCTCTCCAGTCTGAAGGGCAGTCAGGGTTCCCTGCCCTGTGGAAAGTCCAAAGTCCTCCCCGCTCCATCCTGGTCTAGGAAGGTGGACATCCAAACTGGCTAGGCTCCCACGAAGCCAGAACATGAAGTAGGATCAAAACCCAGTGGCATTGTCCTTGGCTTCTCAGCAGCCCTCATTGTCCGCAGGACTCAAGAAGATGTCAACGCAATATTAAGAAGTCAGATCGTAACCCTCTATTCCTTTGTGTCTATCAATGTTCGTGTGTGCCATGGAAAATCAGGAGAGTTTTTCAATGTTTACAAAATAACAAAATATCTAACAGTAAGTACAGTTTGTAAGCGAAATGATCGTGATCAAGACTAGAACAGTAACATTTATGAAGGAAAGAAAATAATTCTTATGGCTTAAATCAGAAATGTCCACCAAAGCCTTGATAAAAGCCTGGCTCCCAGATGATGACCTTCAGTGAAACGACTGGTTCATGAAAACTGTAATTTATTCAGTGGTTACTCCTTCAGTAAATTCCAGAAATAATGGCAATGTGGTACTGTGGTGCAAAGTAGGAGACAGACCTGTGTTGGAAGAAATAAGTATCTGGAAACATGCCCTGCTAAGATACTGCTGCTCAGACACCCATTCAGGTCTCTTTCAGCTTTCTGGATGGGACAACATGAAAAATAATTCTCTGAGATTCTGTTTACTGTGTTATTTCAGCTCACAACAGGCATGCAGCAAATGATTTCACAGACCTTGAGCTGAAATCTGTGGAAGTAATTGCAAGAATAAATATGTCTTCCCATATTCTCTCAGATCTTATCAGCAGACCAAAAGTTTGACTAACCACGAAGTGGAGAATACTCTTCTTGACAGTCAGAATTGGTTTGTTTGGTAAAATAAAATCCATATTATATATAAAAATATGTGCAAAGGGTATTCAATAAAATGGAAAACAAAAGCTGTAGAAGACATGACAAAAGACCCAGGTGGTGATTTGTGGTACAAAGGGAGAAAAGGAAGGCATTAAGAGAAGTCTGAGATTTTGGATAAAATAAAGTGTTCTATGAAGAACTTCTTGCATGAGAGAGACTAGATCAAGGGAGAGCAGAACGTTGGTGAATACATGGTCTCTTGGGGAGAGGAACCACACTGATAGGATTGAAAATTTGAAGCAATTAAGCAAAGACCCAAATATGCATTTCTAAACTAAAAAAAAAAAAAAAAACAAAGCCCAAATGGTTATGATTATAAACTTCTGGTAATTTCTGCTCTGTGTATACCTCATTGTTCATAGCACCACACTGATAAATACAGCAAATGTCAAAAGACTAACTTTGGGTGAAACATAAAAGGGAAAAATTAATTCTTGCCTGATAGAAGAGACTGGGAAATCAATGCCACATGCAAGGTGTCCCTGCTAGTCTGCACTTTCCACAAATGCTATCTTCTAGAACGACAGATCATGAGGCCTCTGTGTTGCTGAAAAGAGATGAATTTCCACAGTGCCCTGTTTAAAAAGGTAGAGCCAAGCCTCACACTCCAAGTTATCAACTCTATTAACACCTTAAGCAGAAGACTACTGTCAAAGAAGGATGGTGTTTAAGGAAAGAAATATGACTAATTGATTCATTGACCTCATAGTTACACATGATACTTATTTAAATGATAGAAAAAGTGGTTGATAGCCTGAGTGTGATGCAGCTGCTGCTTGCTGAGTACTTATTGGTGGTTGATCATAGGAAACTAATAAAGACACTTAATCAATCTTGTATCAGAGGACCAACAGATATTTAAGGCTTATCTCTGAAATTAAAACTCTGCAACTCATTTTTCTTTTTTTCTCAAATCAATGCCCTTGAGATGAATATTGAATGACAGGAATGTATTATTTTTCATATTATCTGAAATTGTGATATTCTGGAGGTTAGAAAACAATGAGGTTAATATACTAACATAAACATCTGAGCACATAGATAGATAGTAGATAGATGCAAAGATCGATAGATGATAGATTATAGAATATATACATAGATATGCAGATGATAGATAGATAGACACATATATAGTTATAGAAATATACACATGTAGCAGAGTACTACTGTTTAAAATGAGCCTTCTTCCTCCATTTCCTACCTGTGCCTAACAACTATGAGCCATGTTCTAATAATAATATATGGTATGTTATATAAATTATATGTAGCACTCAATACCATTTTTTCAGATTTCAATAATAATATATATTCTTTTTTCTGGTAAAATTGTGAACAACTGATTTCTTTGTTGTTGCATCATTGTACAATTAGAATTTGCTCTGTAGCATTGCCATATTAATGCATGTGCCAATAACAAAATAGGAAAATTATATGCAACACCATTCTTTATTTGTTCTTGGCGAATTTCATATCATGCATCCCAGTCCCGCTCACCTCCCAGAGCCTTCATATCTGCCCCTCACCCTTACAACTTTTCCCAAAAGTAACCCTCCCCAAAATTAATTAAAAGCAAACCGAAGCTATCTTTCTCCTTCACCTTTCCCATCTTTCAAACACCTCCTCATTTGTTCTAGTGGCACTTGGAGCTCTGATGTGTCTGTCACACAGCGTACCATTTTGTCTAATCAGCCCCACTTGCAAATGTTCATTCCAATGAGTCATTCGTTGCTCTGGCTCAAGACTGCTGGTCTCTGTCACACAATTATCACTGGACCCTTACTGAAACTCCTGCCAGATAGCCTGCTGGTACCCCAAGTTATGTGGACCCTGTGGCTATCATTCAACAAGATCAGTCCTTTCACATGTTCAAACAGGTCTTAGATGGGGTAGATGTCATGGTAGGTTGACCTAAGGTTAAGGATGTGGGTTCTAGACGTAGCTAAGCTATTCAGTCTGGGTCAAAAGGACCACCCCTCTCAGGTGAGAGGTAGAGCCATCTCTTCTAGGCCTATACCTTCAGTGACAGCTCTCCAATTACCCCCATGGTGAGGGGGGAGCTATTTTCCCTGATACAGTGTTCAGGGAGGAGCAGGGCCAGCTATACCATGGCTAGTGAGAGGTAGATCTAGTTAAGCACAACCCTCAAATTTTAACATATATGATACCCATGCTCCTCTGTAGTAACACAGGCCACGGACATCAACAAAGATCCAAGCTACACTGAGACCATGGATGTAGACATGGGCCTAGGCACCAGCTCAGTCCCAGACATCATCATGACTCCGGTGGAAGTACATGTTACCTAGATCGGTATGGCCCCAGCAGCAACATGGCCCTCAGACACCAACATGGTTGCAGGTGGCTGACCAGACCCCAGGTATCTGTACAGACCTCAGATTCTGGAAGTGTGTAGTGAGGTAAGATTGAATTTTAGAGGAGGTGGAGAGGAGGCCTGAGAAAGAAATCAGGAAAACCACCCCTTTCATAATAGGCTCAAATAATATAAAATATCTTGGGGTAATTAACACGTGAAAGATTTGTATTTTAAGATGTTCAAGGAAGAAATTGTAGAAGCTATGAGAAGTTGGAGGAATACTCTCCCATACATACGGATCTGTAGGAGTAACCGCGAGATTGGGCATCCTACCATAATAATCTACAAATTGAACGCAATCCCCGTTAAAATTCTTCACAGTTGTTGAAAGGACAGTTCTCAGCTTCATATGGAAACAAAATAAACCAAAACAGAGAAAACTGAAACAACCATGAATAAGAAAAGCAATGCTAGAGGTGGCACTGTTACCGTGAAGCAGAATCACAAGGAACCAATAATCCAGATGCGCTGTGTAAAAAGTTCAATTAAAAGAAAAAATATCAAAAAAAATTTAAAAATAAACCATTTTCATTCTGGGTGAGCTTTCGCTCACCCAAAGGTTAATCCGATGGTAGAAGTGTGATTATTACCTATGTTTATTGTATTATGGCCAATTAGGCTTCATGGCAGAGTAAATGGAACAACATATTAAGTGGAGTAGTGTGACTTACCAACCTTCGATACTGCAAGACACCATCACATTTACCTTAGTTTGGAAAACAAACCTGAAACTTCAGAAAAATGTCACCAACAGACATTACAGCGGACTAATTATTTTAGTTGTGAGTCAGCTGTCTGCAGTTCGTTGTGACCTTTTAAATGTGCTGGCTTGCTTAAAATGCAGGCATTTTTCTTTATAAGGGAGTGAATTTAAAGGAACAATAGACAATTACAGAGAAAATATTACAAGTATATATATGTGCTATGTAATATACACTGATATATACATGTGTGTATTATATGTGTATATATGAATATAATATATATTATATTATATAATATATGTTATATATATTTGTGTATAAAACATATATCAGTGCGGCAAATTTTATTTATTTATTTATTCATTTATAATTGTTTTGAGGCAGGGGTCTCTGTAACTTTGGTGCCTGACCTGGAACTAGCTTCTGTAGATGAAGCTGTCCTTAGAATCAGAGATCCACCTGCCTCTGACTCCTGAGGGCTGGGATTAAAAGCATGTATGACAGCTGTCCGGCCAAGAACAGCAAATTTTAAAACCATTTGATAGTAGCCTCCTGTAGATTTAGAACCCACTACAAGCCCTACTGTACTGTTCAGAGGACAGTAGTAAAGGAACACAGACCAGTTAACCAGCACAAAACCAACAAAAGCCAAACATTTATTTCTCACAGTTTATACAGTTTTCTGTTTGGTGTCTGGCAAGTCTTGTGAGTATTTTTTTTTTTTTTTTTTTTTTTTTTTTTTGCTTCGTTTTATTTCATTTTGTTTGTCTGTAACCTCACCGCAGAAGATTCAAGGAAATTCTCCAGGGCCTTAGATGACTTCAGGAATCCCCTTCCTGAGGGCTATGCCTCTGCTTTAAGCATTTATCTTTGAACGGACCTACACCCTAAAAGATACTACTGCGTGCCCATTTGGATTTCTATACCTAAGTCGGGCGAGGCATGAACCTCAGTACACTGCAGTACCTGAAGGAGATTTTTCAAAATTTATAGAGCGGGGAAAAGGGAAGCAGGATCAAAGAGGAAAGGGAGTATAAAGCAGCAAGGAACTGGAGCCCAGACATTGAAAATAGAAGCCGAAGCTTTTCACTATCCAAAGTTTAACGTGGTTGTGGTGATGCTGGGCAGAATGGTCACATTGCAGGTAAAGAAGGCGAATGTTTTAAAGGCTAACATTCCAAGGCAAAGGAATGAAGTAAAATAAGAACATAAGCCACAATGTGGCAGTAGATAATTGCTTGTTTCTTTCCTGTCACGATTTTTTTTTTTTCAGAATCAAGACAATGAGAAGTTTTGAC